GAGAACCCTTGAAATTCTAATTAGAATTTGCAGTTATAACCTACATTTTATTATTAAGTTTAGTTAATATTAACCATTACTTTAATTCTTATTTAGTATCACTGTTATCTATAATTACTACAGATTTTTAAGGAAAATGATACTATTTTTGTAGCCTTGATGTTTATATGGCCCCAAATATCATCAAATTGAATACTAAACTAGAACACAGATACAAATTCTAACACTTACATATATAATATATATTCAAAAGTACTAATAGGGTCTTTTGAAGCTGCATCTAATATATACATATTTTTTCATTAAACCAGAGAGCATTGTGAGATATATTTTGTCACATAGCAACATTAAGCTTGCAAGAACCTACATATTAATCATGGGAACACAGAATTTGGGAACTAGAAGACCTTCGAGATTAAGAATTCATACTAATCAGAATATCCTCATATCTTGCCTAAACCACTGGTAGTTTATTCACAACCAATGCTCTATCACGTACCTGTGAATTCCCATCACCTATCTGTCTGCCAAAGGCCTCCTCAATAGTTTATAATCTAATTATTGTGCTGCTAATGCTTAAAATACAAAACCCCATTTCTTCAGTATGAAGTTCACCTTACCAGTTTCACCTCCAAGTCCCAACTCAATAGGCTGTGTTTCAACAGCTGCACCTCGCCCAGTATGTACCTCATCCCACCTCCATACTTTTCTAATGGTGTTCTCTGCCTAGAATGTCTTCTTTCCTTCTTTTCCTATTAAAATTCTACTTAAATTTCAAGGCCCAGCTCAAATTATACCACCTATGGGATCTTCATTTCCCCTACTAAAAATTAACTATATTCCCATCCTGCGTTCCTATGTAAAAAATATCTGTGTTAGCATTTAATACAACTTGACTAAATGTAGTGTACCTCTTCCTCTCTCCTTCACTAGATATTAAGTTCCCTGGTGCGGGAGGAACAAGACCTTCATTTCTCTCCTTCCCACTGAGTATAGTACCTTGTATATAATCAGTACTCTACAGATATAAATTAAATTAAATGAGAGGTACAGTCTCTCCTAAATTAGAAATAATTTGGTTTATTAATAGAAAATTAAAAATCGCTTCCTCTCTAACTCTAAGTAATTCAAATGGAAAGTATAATTTGATGGTAATTACACATATTAAGTATTTATACATGTAAATATTATAGGAATCAGAGGTATTTTAAAACTTCTTTCTGGGTGCCTGGTTGGCTCAGTCACAGGTTAAGCACCAGCTCCTGATTTCAGCTCAGGTCATGATCTCAGGATCCTAGGATTGAGCCCCATGTCTGGCTCCAGCTCAGTAGGGAGTCTGCTTGAGGGCTTGCGCGTGCGCCCGCGCGCTCTCTCTCTCCCTCCAGCCCCCCAATCTCGTGCTCTCTCCCTCTCTTAAATAAATAAATCTTAAAAAAAACTTCTTTCTATTCATCAACCTAAAGTACTTTGAACTCTTAAATTAAACATTTTCTTAACATAGGCTAGTAATGCTTTCAGTGCATTTAGGGAGAACAAGAAATAAGCTCTCCAAACCCCTTGCAATAGGAGAAAATTCTCAGAGGTTCTGGAACACTGGGTCTAAGAGCTTTGGAAATAGGCCTTAGAAACAATGAGTGTGTTCCTCCTTCCGGAATGCAACTGAGTGAGTGGCAAGCAACAGCAAAATGGGAAAGAAAGTGCTTCCTGGAGCTAGGAAAGCCAGGGAAGTGTGCTTGGAGTTCACTGGAGCCAGAGCCTCCTAATTTCTTACTGATCCTGCCACCTTTTGGCCAAATTATGAATCAAGACCCTGCAAGTGACAAGGAACTTTAGCTGTTATAGTAAGGTCAATCAACAGTTACTAAGTGTCATTGAAATAAATGGGAATGTTGTATCATTAAAACTTGTTTTGGCTACGCTATTTATGTCTGGAATATGCTATGATGCTTAACTGTTCCTTTAAATGTCCCTTTGAAAAATAAATCTTAGTAAAAGTAATATTACTGAAAGGTACTCCTGACCTGATTTGTACTCAAATATTCAAAATTAGGAAAATAGAAGCAGTACTAGTGTCACACATAAAATTCAAAGAATCAGAGCTAAGAAGAACAAGAATGCAGTGTTCTTAGCAGTGAGTAGATGAGAGCCTTTATATAATTTTTATTAGGTTTTAGCAGCTGCAGTAAGAATTGCTTCTATTGTAACTGATTGGCTCTATCAAGTGCTGCTCAGAAGAGCAGGAAATTCTCTTGCTGAATTAACAGCTGGATTAAGTGTCAACAACTAAGGCAAAACACACACACATACACAGCATCATGTTAAATGAAAGGGAAAAGGGAATTAATATTTGTTAAGTGCCTACTATACTAAACACTGTGCTGGGTGCTTTAAATATATAACCTTATTTAATTCTCACAACACTACTAGATAAACATTAGTCAACTCATTTTATGGATGAGAAAATTCAGTCTCAGAGGTTACAAGTATTACAGCTGAAATGCAAATAAGTGTGACTCCATTTCCTCAGGCTTTTTCCACTATATCACACTACCTTTAGAAACTCTCTAATGGATTTTATACTTACCTCTATGTCTCAAACGTAATTTTCTTCATTTGTAAAATAGAGTCGGACTTAATCATTTCTATGGTCCAGACTAACTCTAAAATTTCATGAAATCTATGATTCTTGTGGGACTCAATACAAAAAACATAGAGAGGGGCGCCTGGGTGGCTCAGTCATTAAGCGTCTGCCTTCGGCTCAGGTCATGATCCCAGGGTCCTGGGATCAAGCCCCACATCAGGCTCCCTGCTTGGCAGGACGCCTGCTTCTCCCTCTCCCACTCTCCCTGCTTGTGTTCCCTCTCTCGCTGTGTCTCTCTTTGTCAAATAAATAATAAAATCTTAAAAAAAAAAAAAAAAAACCATGGAGACGTAAAAGAACAACTGCTCACTACAAATGTGCAAAGAACTGAAGGGAGACGTTCAAAGAAGAGTAAATAAAAATTGCCTTTGAATGTAATAAAAGCTGCTCACCTTCACTCCAAATTTAAGAAGTCAAAATTAAAACATGGATGATTTACCATTTTCATCTCTGAGATGGACAAACGTTGTAGGGAAACAGATACTCATATATATCTTAGGTGCCACTAAAGACACAAATTCTTTGGAAAGCAATTTGGTAATATATATCAAAATTATAAATGTATACAGCATTTTGTCCAGGAATTTCACTTCTAGAATTTGTCCTACAAATAGATCTTATGTGCACAAAGGTATATGCAGATACACATTTATCCCAGCATTGTTTGAAATACCAAAGAGACTGGAATTAATCTAAATACCCATTCACTGGGGACTGGTTAAATAAATTAGGATAAGTTCATACCACCGAATTCTATGCAGTATGCCAAAGGAACATAGTAGATGAACGCAAGCTATTATGGATAACATCCAAGTATATAAAGTAAAAACAGCAAGAAGTAAAAAACAAAAAAATGATAAATACACATATGCATCTAGAAGCACAGACTATTTCTAGGAGGCAATGTGAAAAATTAGTAACAGTGGTTTTCTCTGGGGAAGAAGCTGTAAGTCTGGAATTAAAGGGATAAGCTTATCATGCATCCTTTTAAAAATTTTTTTTACTATATGAATACTGTGATGTAAGCATTTTTACCTTTTTTAATTAAAAAAGGTGTTTATAACAAACAGTAGTCTCTGGAGTCACTCAAGAACCCTTTAAATGTGAAGGTTACTTACAAGAAAAAAAAAAGAATTAATAATGCCAGGAATTTTTAACATGTCAAACTTCTTCTAATCACCTCTGATTTCTGTGTGTGTGTGAATTTCAATCTACAAGCAACAACAAATACAGCACAAGCACCTCCAGTGTGCAAGATATGATAGAAGGTCTGAAAAGGAGTATTTTTTACCTCTGTCTCTCGGTCTCTCTCTCTCTCTCAAACTTCCCAAATTCAGAGTCTCACATTCTAGAGCATGTTGTGACAAATCATACAAATGAATGGTAAAGCTGCCAATTCCGAGGGCATGGCCATATGGAATATATCAATTTCTTAGTTGTGGAAACTCATCCAGACTAAAAAGATCCTATGCTTATCTGAACTATCAATTCTGCAATAATTAGTAAAATAGTAGTTAAAATACCAAAAATTCACAAACCTTAATAATTATGAGATTGAGAAGTTATCTATATAGTATCAAAATTACATGTGAAATTCATAAGAGGTTAAGTATCTAATCATAAACAAAGCACTCTATTTTCAAATCAGTAAAATATAATTATTAGGTACCAGATTTTGATGTTATTCCAGAAGATTTGTGTTAGGAAAAAACCATAAAATTTCCTAGGAAAACAAATTGATAAGGAGTACAAATGTAAGAGGAAAGACTATTTATGCACTAAGGGCCAAATCTTATTCAAATTTCATGAAAACTTCTGGGCCATTAGTATTCTGTTACACTGTTTTCTCTTATATAGTAAATTTACAAATTTATTTCCTCTGCTTCTCAGTAAAAATAATAACTATAATAGATGGGTATACCTCACATATTAAACAATAAAAATAAACCAACATTTATGAAAAATAAGATTAAAAGGAGGGGTGCATGGGTGGCTCAGTCGGTTAAGCATCTGACTTCAGCTCAGGTCATGATCTCGGGTCCTGGGATTCAGCCCATGTCAGGCTACCTACTGAACAGGGAGTCTGCCTGTCCCCTCCTCTCTCCCTCTGTCCCTCCCCCGCTTGTATGTGTGTGTGTGCGCTCTATCTCTCTCAAATAAATAAAATCTTAAAAATAAAGAAAATGAGCTACCCTCCTTTAGTTGCTGGGTAAATTCTAGTAAATAAGTTAATCAATTTATGTTTGACTCAGTCCAGGTTGGAAAAATTATACATGTATACATTATTAGAAATTTTTAGCAAAGCACTGAATTCAACAGATCAGAATAAGAAATTTATATTTTAAAAAATAAGATGTACCTTTTATCTGGGTAGCAAAATTCAGTGCCAATTTTGCAAAGAGATCAGGATTTTCAAACTTGTCCTCCTTAACTTTTAACCAGACACAGTTCTCAGATAATTCTTTGGGCTCAATCTGAAACAAAAATAACAAAGATAAGTATCTAAATTATTACTGCATATTTAATTCTTCAAAGAATTCAATTTCACCAAGATTGATAGTTCCTTTATTTATCTACCTACTAAATCAATTTCAGGATCTATCAAAATAACATTTAAGTAAATATTCATTGGGGAAGTCCCAGAATTCTATTGATGTACAGAAAAGATACACAACAGCAATTAGTCATATAGCAAACTACATTTAAAAAAGTCTTCTGGGGGCACCTGGGTGGCTCAGTCATAAGCATCTGCCTTCAGCTTAGGTCATGATCCTGGGGTCCTGGGATCAAGTCCCACATCGGGCTCCCTGCTCGGCGGGTAGCCTGCTTCTCCCTCTCCCACTCCCCCTGCTTGTGTTCCCTCTCTCTCGCTGTCTTTCTCTGTCAAATAAATAAAATCTTAAAAAATTAAAAATAAACAAAAAAGTCTTCTGGAAGGAATCTTAAAAATAGTTTAGTAAATCCCTCCCCCAACTCACATATATTTTTTTTCTCCTCCTGGATTTTTAAAACTGAGGAAACTAAAATTCAGAAAAGTGAATTAATTCTCCATATTTACTGACCAGGGTGAAGGTAATAACCATAATAGCTGACAACTTACATACCTCCTATAATGTATCAGGTGCAGTTTTAAGTGATCTGCATATATTATGTAATCTAACCCTTATAATAATCCCTTGAAGCAGGACCTATTATTATCTCCATGTTAAAGATGAGGAAACAGCCCCAGAAAGTTTAAATGGCTGTCCAACTAGTAAATGGCAAAGAGGGGAATTAAACCCAGGCAGTGATGCTCCAGAGAATTGTGCTCTTAACCACTACATCGAAATCCAAGATTAGAACTGTACATTTTCCAGTACATCATGATGCTTTGTGTTGTATAAGTACCATTTCACTGTATGCTTAAATGCTAAATGAACATATCATTAAATTTATACATAGAGACAACTGGACCAACAGCATCTGGATCCTATAGTTTGGTGGACTGTACCTAACAAAAAATAACTACATTCCAAAAACATTTGTACCTCATTTATGAGCAAAGCATAAGTATAGTCTTAACTTAAATACTGGTTTAACCATGATTCTGGTCAAACCAATTTACTATGTAGATACTGTCATATTTCACTCTAAGTATGTTCATTAGAAGATTAGTTCCTACTAAATAGGCACTGTGTCAATCTTGATAAGAAGCTTTTTACGAGACATATTCTTATAATAATAAAGCAAAATAGGAGTGCCTGGGTGGCTCAGTCCGTTAAGTGTCCAACTCTTGATTTCAGGTCAGGTCATGATCTCAGGGTCATGAGATCAAGCTCCATGTCAGGCTCAGGCATGGAGGCTTCTTAAGATTCTTTCTCTCACTCTCTCTCTCCTTCTACCTCTACCCCCCTCGCATTCTCTCTAAAAGAAAAAAAAAAAAAAAAGCAAAATAACATTCAAAAGAAAAAAACCTCATAAATTACATTAAAAAATAATTAGGTTATGTCACTACAGAATGCTGCTACCTATTCCATACTATCTAAATATTTAAAACTAAAACAAAAAAGGGATGCCTGGGAGGCTCAGTTGGTTAAGTGTCTGACTTCAGCACAGGTCATGATCTCAGGGTCCTGGAATTGAGCCTGGCATCATGCTCCATGCTCAGTGGGGAGTCTGTTTGTCCCTCTCCCTCTGCCCCTCCCCCTGCTCGTGTTCTCTCTCTCTGATAAATAAAAATCTTTAAAAAAAAACTAAAACAAAAAAATTCTCTAAGAACAAAAATAACTAAGATAAAAAAGCTCAGTAATAATAAAGATTATATTTAAGAATGTTGTAGTACTTAAAACAGTACAAGAATCAAAATCATGTTTCATTTGGTGATACATTTTATATATTTTTCTCTAGCACCATTTTCACTTTGGTTTTCCTTTTGACTTCTACATTAATTTCCAATGATCTGTGGAGTTTCCAATTCATAGGGTACTAGACTGAAAGATAAACATAAGATGGTGAACTCACAAAGGAAAGCATGAGTCAGCAGTCATCTTCTCAAGCAGTATGCAATACTTATATGGAGCAACAGTTATTCACATATTAATAATCAACTATGGCTGGACAAAGACAAAAATAATCTAGTCATAAAATATCTGGTCAAATACTCTAGTCTAGTCATAGTCATAATCACCTTTGACCAATTGATTCTCTTCATGGGCACCTCAGGTTTATACATTTTTTTCTGCTTCATCCCATAAGGCAAATCAAGTGCTGCTTCTGGGAAAGGAGGAATTCCTCCTCCAAGGGGAAGTGGTGGAGGTCCCCCAAACAAAGGTGGTGGTGGTGGTGGTGGTATACCAGTCATTCCAGGTAAAGGAGGTGGAGGAGGAGGGGGAGTTCCTCCAGGTAGAGGTGGTGCTGGTGGAGGTGGTAGCGGTGGGGATGACCCACCACCTGGCAATGGAGGTGGTGGAGGAGGGCCTGGAATTCCTGATGAACCTGAGAGTCCATGTCCCTGAAACATACGTAATACAATGTTTAAAAGCTTTCAGTAAAATATAATAGCAAAGAAAACTTATCAGTAGACATTGGGGGTTTAAGATTACATACACTTTATTTAATTTAGTAACATCAAAGGGCTTAACAGTAACTGAAAAAGACTCCCATAGATTTTTGATAAGCATTATAAACTCTGTACAAGGACTACTTCTGCTAACACACTATAAAAGTTGGCATCCTCAAAGATTTTGTGAAACACCCCTCCAAAATAACGAAAAATTACCTATCATTATAAATACATGCAAAGAAGTACTGAAGTGGCTTGAGCCTATTAGACTAGCTGGTTTGAATATGGGATAATTAATACAATCATAGGTCTGATTCCCTTGGAGCCAATTAGCTTTACACAGAGTCTATCACATAGCACCAGTAATTTAGTAGTCTTCTAGTACCAATAATTAATACTGAGTAACATCCATTTGCATGGTAATATATGTTTATCAATGTTTTTACAGCTATTATTTTTTTTTAAAGACTTTATTTATTTATTTGAGAGAGAGAGAATGAGAGATAGAGAGCACAAGAGGGAAGAGGGCAGAGGGAGAAGCAGACCCCCTGCTGAGCAGGGAGCCCGATGTGGGACTCGATCCCGGGACTCCAGGATCATGACCTGAGCCCAAGGCAGTCGCTTAACCAACTGAGCCACCCAGGTGCCCACAGCTATTATTTCTTTTCATTGCTATTATAACCCTGTAAAGTAAGTAGGGCATTTTTATCTAAACTTTATCTCACTGCTTATAGATGAGAAAAAACATAACTACAAAAAGGTTAAATGACTAAACAAAGGTCACAGAGTCTGAAATGTGGTTAAGATTTGAATGTGGGTTCTTCTTATACCTAATGTAGTCCTCTTTCCACTACAGCAGACTATCTCCTCATGGAGTCACTTGCCATGAAAAGAATTAATTCAAACAGATTGGATGATGAGGACAGTATAACTTACTTCTACCATAAGAAAATGACTTCAACCTCATTCTCTAATGATAATGGATAACAGATGAAGGACAGTATCTCATTCCAAACTGTTTACTTTTTAAGTTAATCTGTACCTGTTTCTTTAAACCATTGCTGGTTACAATGGTTCACTTCTAAAATAAATGAATATGGGCGCCTGGGTGGCTCAGTTGGTTAAGCGACTGCCTTTGGCTCAGGTCATGATCCTGGAGTCCCTGGATCGAGTCCCGCATCAGGCTCCCTGCTCGGCGAGGAGCCTGCTTCTCCCTCTAACCCTCCCCCCTCTCATGTACTCTCTCTCTCTCATTCTCACTCTCTCAAATAAATAAATAAATCTTTTAAAAAAAATAAAAAATAAAATAAAATAAAATAAATGAATATTAAAGTGAAGTTGGTTATTATAAACATTCCTAAGAAAATCCTACCAATGAACAGATGTATTTGTAATCAAGATATGACATTAGATGAACTGAATGAAAAGTTTAAAATTAATAAAATTTCTTGGCATAAGTGTTATTTTTATTTGGGAAGAAAGTCTTCTTATCTTTACTAATACGAATTTCTAAGTTGGAGTACTTAATTGTACTAACTAAACTTAGAAATGGCTTTACAAAATAAATAAGTTGAAGCATATTTTAAGAATAATCAATTTAAAGGACTGACCTATGTATAAGAATATTAAAAATTAATAATCATAGAATTTTCTCATAATATTTAATATGCACTGTCCAATATTTTATTCATATGTATGATATTTATGTGTGTATATACATATATGCAACTGAAGTATTTACACACTCAACAAATAACAATCCTCCTCTGGAATGCAATCCTCTCCTGAAATTAGTAAGTATTACAATATGCAAAATTATTTTCATTTTACTTTTAATGTAGCAAAATTATAGAAAACAGCCAGATTTTTACAATCTTGACTGAGATCAAAGAAATTATGGAGAAAATCAAAATAATTTTTCTGAAAAGTTTAAGAAATTAGTAATTTACAAGTTTTATGTATAAATGGATTTGTTGAATACTTTGAAAGGTAAAATGTATATCCAATTTTTTATTGAAAGAGATCAAAATTATATTTGTTAACATCAAATTTTTACTCTATTAGATCATATCTATGATATGAAACTTGGGGAGCCATAAAAATGCTATCACTTTTAAGAGGATTTTACTCAAGTTAAATGCATATTTCACAAATTTAATAAAGAATCTCAAATAAATGCCACCAGCCTTTAAAAATCAAATCGGATCAGCCCTTCTCTTCCCTCTCATGAACAATTAGGAATGCAACAATTAAATTAGGCTACAATAGAGTACTGAGAATTGAATATAGCTAATGAATAATTTAGTATTTGGCACAATTTTGGGTACACTAGAAAGGACTGTGTGACTCTGCATTTTTACAGATCAGTTAATTTAATAATAAATAAGCAACTACTCACTAAATAGTAAGGCCCTGTGGTAGGGTGACATTGAGGAATGTCACCATCGGGGGGGGGCAAAAACAAAAAGAAACTGAGTTCTCAGAGATGTGAAAAGGGAAGGCAGATGATACAAAAAAGGAGAAAGAATGAAAGAAATTATCAAATATTATAGGTAAGTGAAACAGACTGAGGGTAGGAAAAGGCACTGCATTGAATAATTTGGAGTTCATCAGTGACTTCTGAAGTCATTTCTCAGTAGACTGATGGATACAAATCTAGTCAATCAATAAACATCTACTGAGCATGCACTATGTTAAGAGCTGTTAGGGAAAAAAAAAAAAACACAGGCCCCAAATGGCATCAGTTAGGCTGAGTCCCCAAAACAGAGCTTAATACATAATCTAACTGCAGTTTCAACATCCCCAAGAAATAGTCTTAACAGATGAGTCAGGAACTTTTAAATCAGCAGACAATATGTCAGCCACAGAAGTCCTCTCCAGCCCTTAATGGTAGATAAAGTAATCTGCATAGGACCTCTTGCTTTTCCCCCTAAGGGAAAGTGGCAGGGCCTAAAAGATCTTTTCCTTTCCCTAGTAACTTGTTTTCCCACCCTCTTTTCATAAAAACCTTTCATTTTGTACAACACCCTAGAATTCCCCTCTGCTTACTAAATGGAATGATGCCAAATTCATAATCATTTAATAAAGCCAAATAGACTGTCAAAATTTATGTGGCTGAGTTTTGTGTTTTAATGAACATTTTTTTCTTCCATTTTATTTTCTCAATCATTGTTTTCATTAATGGGCTTTGTAGGTTAAAATGCATAGTAAAAACTAAAAAGAAAAAGCATACACAGAAAAAGGACATTATTCTCACCAACACTGATAATCTTCCATTTCTTAATAACCATTTAAAACATAAAAAGTGCTGAGGGTATTTAAAAAATAAAAATAAAGTGTTGAGAGGACTTAATCAGTTCTAAAGTTTAGACACCATAACTAAGATCTTGAGTGTATATGAGTGCTTCTCATCATAGGTGATGCAGCAGGAAATGCAAAATTTCTAGGTTTTGAAATTATGCATCCAACTTTTCAAATCATCAAAAAATTTTTGCTCCTGAACAGTCTTGATTGTGTAATATAGTCCATTAAAACTCTTCAGGGAAGTTTAAGCAATACCTTATTTTTATCCAAACAGTAAAATTATTTATTATCCTGGAAAATTAAATCTGTAGTTATTTCAACTAAAATGCAAAACTGCCAAAAAGTCTGCTTCTGGTCACATTTTTCCTTACATCTAACAAGATAATTTTCTACCATCAAACTCACTGTGACATGACATAAAGTCTATACCTTCTTTCATTACCTGGGTTCGAAGTTGCTGGATTTCTGTTTCAAGCTCTTTAATTTTTTCTTCTCTTTTTTGAAGCTCAGCTTGAGCTTCCTGTCGAGCTGTGAATTCTTCATCAAACTGCAATGATCACCACCATAAATGTACACTTAATAACATAGTTTTGAGAAAGTTTTAAACAACTTTATGTATTAGATAAGTGGAATGTCTTTTGCTTTATTGAATTCCCAGGTCATTCAGAAAATCAAAGCTCCAGATCACTTTCATAACAATTAAGCACACCTGTTGGGGTGGGTTACTGATTATGGTGCTAGTAGAGAGGAAATATGGCAGCAACCCAAGGTAAAAAAAAAAACCATTTTCACACACACACACAAAAAAAAATTTTTAAAGATTTATTTATTTTAGAGAAAGAGATAGAGACAGAGAAAGTATGTGGGGTTTGGCAGAGGGAGAGAATCTTCAAGCAGACTTCCCATTGTGTGCAGAGCGAGACCTGGGACGCCATCTTGCCATGCATGAGATCATGAACTGAGCCGAAACCAAGAGTGGCATGCTGAACCAACTGAGTCACCCAGGCGCTCCCTGAACAAAATTTTAAAAGAGTGTACTGAGAAGTCTCTCTTCGCATATAATGGACATTTATACTGTTCTGTTATTGAAAAATAGGTTTCAGAATCATTTTCTTTAATGTTTCATCCTATACATTTAACTTTATCAAATTAGAAAATGAAACCTAGAGATGCCTGTGTGGCTCAGTTGGTTAGGTGTCTGCCTTCAGCTCAGGTCATGATCTCAGGGTCCTGGGATCGAGTCCTGCATTGGGCTCCTTGCTCAGTGGGGAGCCTGCTTCTCCCTCTGCCTGCTGCCCGCCCCCCTGCTTGTACTCTCACTCTCTCTCTCTGACAAATAAATAAGTAAAATCTTAAAAAAAGAAAAAAAGAAATGAAACCTAAAAATTCACCATCAAGCAGTTCAACTCTGTAACTATATTTAACCTTGAAAAGAGAATACACTTTTAGAATGCTCAAATGATTGTACTTTAACACAAATTATAATATTTCTATTACAATCTTAATTGTCTAGCATCCAAAAAGTGGTATTCCACAAAATCTGACAGTAGAATGATATATGGATAGCCTAAATGGAATTCTCCTTCAGATGTTTAACCAAAACACCTACATAAAATACTAAAAGAGAGAAAATGAGAGGTTAAATTAAGATGTGTTGGGGGAAGGAGTTAAGATGGCGGAGGAGTAGGGGAACCAATGTTTGCCTCAACCTTCAAATACAACCACATGAATATCAAATCTTTATGAATTCAAGAAATCACTAAGAGGACTGAGAGACCAAACTGCACAACTACAGGATGAGAAGAGCCACACTGTGGAAGGTAGGAGGTACAGAGACGTGATTTAGGGTAATAAAGAATTACAGATGCTGTAGAGGGGAGGGAGCCAAATCATGGACAGAGGAAACAGAGTGGAAGAGTGAAAGAGAGAAAGCACAAAGGGCACAGAGGATCACACACCAAGAACACTTCCCCAAAACCATACACTGGGAAAATGAGAGGGGCTGATTATCATGAGTTTTTACAACCAGCAGAGCTAAAAGACTTAAGATTTAGAAGTCTGCACCATGGCCATTGTGGAGCCTGGGGGATGCAGTGGTACACCTGTGTAGGAGGCAGAGGCCTGGGAACAGATGGCACAACCCGAGGATCCCCTAGGATGCACTAGAAGAGAAAGTTCCTCCTTCTTGGAGTGTATCTGCTAGAGGAGGCAATGCCTCTCCAGGGACAAAAGAGCCATCAGGTGGCATTGTGCTGCCCAGTTCCTTAGCATAGGGAAAGAGACAGCTGCTGAGGGCAGCTAACCTGGATGCTGGCTTTCTGCTGCACTTTCTAAACTTCAAGCTCCTGCCTGTTGGTGCAATTGCACTTATGGGACAAACTGACGCCAGCCCCAGGGTGGTGTGACACTCCGTCAGAGGATCAGCATGGGTCCATGCTTAACAGATACCACAAGTTATGAGTTTTGAAACTCAACTGATGTGCCTGAGATAAAAGACAGGAGCCCTGCACTGCTGGGGAGGTAATTGGCCTGGATACATGAAGGGTGAATGCAGGGATTTGAGGGAAGCCTGGAACACACAAGAAGAGATATTTCGCTCCTCTGTCAGGGATTCCCAGACACTGGCAAGCATGAACTCCCCACACAGCAGAGGCCTGAGGTGCCTACACCAAGCCCTACCTCCCTGTGCTCTGCAGAAGCTTCTTTACGAGGGCAAGTGTTCCTGAGAACCAATGCAGGGGGGCACATCCCCAGAACACCAGCACAAATGCCCCACATGCACCAAGTCTACTGACCATAGAGTACTACAAAGCTTCAACTCTAATGGAAAGAGGATCACGACTCTTTTAACAAGCAGACCAGAGCACACCTAGGAAAAACTCAACACATAATGCACAAGATCCAAACACTCCCCATTTGAGGCAAGGAGAAACTCTGCAGAGGACTAACCTGGGGGAAAAGCAGCCAAAAAACAGCAGCAGAGTGTACACAGCATACACCAGAAGCAGTTCCTGAAGTGTCAGGCGCTGGAGTGTATATGACCTCTCCTTAATAAAGCTATTACTCTCATGAACAGGAAACATATCAGGCTTTACTAACACACAGAAGAAGACAAGAGACCTAGACCAAATACCAAAATGGAAGAATTCATCCAAAAAGAAAGACCAAGAAAAGGTCATGGTCAGGGATCTACTAGAAACAGATACAAGTAATATACCTGATTCAGAATTTAAGAGAAATTCATAAGGATACTATCTCGGCTTGAGAAAATGACTGAAGACATCAGGGAGTCCCTTATCAAGAGATAAAAGACTGAAAAACTAGTCAGGCCAAAATAAAAAATGCTATAGCCGAGATGTGAAACCCACTGTGTGTAATTATCCACAAGGATGGAAGAAGCAGGGGAACAAATAAGCAATACAGAAGATAAAGCTATGGAAAATAATGAAGTTAAAAAGAAGGAAAGAAAAATGTTCAATCATGAATGTAGACCTAGGGAATTTAGCAGAGTCCACAAACCACAATAACATTTGTATTATAGGAGTCTCAGAAGAAGAAGAGAGAAATACGGGGCATAAAATTTAATTGAAATAACAGCAGAAAAATTCCCTAATCTGGGGAACAAAACAGAAATCCTTATCTAGAAGGCACAGAGAATACTGACCAAAATCAACAAAAGCAGGTAAACACCAAGACATATCATAGTAAAATTTACAAAATATAGAGATAAGGAAAAAATCCTAAAAGCATCAAGGGAAAATAAATCTAAAACGTACAAGGGAAGACAAATAAGGTTAGCAATGGACATTTCCACAGAAACTTGGCAGGCCAGAAGAGTGTGGCATGATATATTCAACATGCTGAAAACAAAAAAATATGCAGCTAAGAATATTCTATCCAGCAAGGATCTCATTAAGAATAGAAAGAGAGATAAAGAGTTTCCCAGAAAAACAAAAACTAAAGAAGTTCACGACCACTAAACCAACCCAGCAAAAAATATTAAAGGGGATGCTTTGAGTAGGAAAGAGAAGACCAAAGGTAACAAAGACTGGAAAGGAACAGAGAAAATCTCCAGAAATGACAACTTTACAAGTAATACAATGGCGCAAAATTCATATCTATCAATAATTATTCTGAATGTCAAAGAACTAAATGCTCCAATCAAAAGACACAGAATATCAGAATGGATTAAAAACATGACATTCTAAAACCTTTGGGATGCAGTAAAAGCTGTCATAAGAAGGAATCAATACAGGCCTACCTCAAGAAGCAAAAAACTCTCAAATACACAAACTAACCTTACACGTAAAGGAGCTAGAAAAGGAACTGCAAATGAAGCCTAAAGCCAGCAGAAGGGAAATAATAAACATTAGAGCAGAAATAAATGATATAGAAATAAAAAAACAGTAGAACATATCAATGACATTAGAAGCTGATTCCTTGAAAGAATAAAATTGATAAACCCCTACCAGACTTCTCAAAAAGAAAAGAGAAAGGAACCAAATAAATAAAATCACAAATGAGAGAGGCTAGATCACAATCACCACCACAGAAACACAGCTATAAGAGAATATTATGAAAAACTTTATGCTGACAAATGGGGCAATGTGGAAGAAATAGATAAATTTCTAAACACATATAAACCACCAAAAGTAAAATAGGAAGAAATAAAAAACTTAAACAGACTGATAACCAGAGAAGAAATTGAATCAGAAATCAAAAAACTCCCAACAAACAAAACACTGGGGGCAGATGGCTTCCCAGGGGAATTCTACCAGACATTTAAAGAAGAGTTAATAGCTATTCTTCTCAAACTGTTCCAAAAAATAGAAATGGAAGGAAAACTTCCAAACTCATTCTATGAGGCCAGCATTACCTCAATTCCAAAACTAGACAAACATCCCACTAAAAAAGAGAATACATAACCAATATTCCTCATGAACATGGATGCAAAAGTTTTCATCAAAACACTAGCAAAACAAATCCAACATACATTAAAAAAAATCATTCACCACAATCAAGTGGGATTTATTCCTGGGCTGCAAGGGTGGTTCAATATTCACAAATCAATCAACGTGATACACCACCTTAATAAAAGAAAGGATAACAACCATATGATCCTCTCAAGAGATGCAGAAAAAGCATTTGACAAAGTACTGGATCCATTCTTGATAAAAAACCTCAACAAAGTAGAGAGAGAGGAAACGTACCTCAATATCATAAAAACTATATATGAAGGACCCACAGCTAATATCATCCTAAATGTGGAAAAACTAAAAGCTTCTCCTCTAAGGTCAGAAACACGACAGGGATGTCCACTCTCATCATTTGTTCAACATAGTGCTGGAAGTCCTAGCCTCAGCAATAATACAATAAAAGGCATCCAAATTGGCAAGAAAGAAGTCAAACTTTCACTCTTCATAGACTACATTTTTTTTTTAATGTGGAAAAGCCAAAAGACTGAACCAAAAAATTGCCAGTGTGGATACATGAATTCAGTAAAATCACAGGATACAAAATCAACGTACAGAAACATGTTGCATTTCTATACACCAATAATGAAGAAACAGAAAGAGAAATCAAGAAAATGATCCCATATTCAATTGCACCAAAAGCCATAAGATACATAGGAATAACCCTAACCAAAGAGGTTAACGATCTGTACTCTCAAAACTATAGAACACATATGAAAAAAACTGAAGAGAACAAAGAAATGGAAAAACATTCCATGCTGATGGATTGGAAGAATATTGTTAAATGTCTATACTACGCAAAGCAATCTACACATTCAATGCAATCTCTATCAAAATACCATCAGCATTTTTCACAGAGCTAGAACAAGCAATCTTTAAATTTGTATGGAACCACAAAAGACCCCAAACAGCCAAAACAATCTTGAAAAAAAGCAAAGATTCAGACTTCACAATTCTGGACTTCAAACTCTATTACAAAGCTATAGTCATCAAGATAGTATGGTACTGTCACAAAAACAGATACACCAACTAATGAAACAGATTAATTAATAAACCCAGAAATGGACCCACAACCATACGCTCAACAAATCGTTGATAAAGGAGGAAAGATTATCCAATGGAAAAAAGACAGTTTCTTCAACAAATGCTGTTGGGAAAACTGGGCAGCATCATGTAAAAGAATGAAACTGGACCACTTTCTTACAACATACACAAAAATAAATTCAAAATAGATTAAAGACCTAAATGTGAGATAGGTAGCCATCAAAATCCTAGAGGAAAACACAGGCAGCAACCTCTTTGACATCAACTATAGCAACCTGTTACTGGACATGTCCACCAGAGGCAAAAGAAACAAAAGCAAAAATTAACTATTGGTACTTTTTCAAGATAAGAAGCTTCTTCACAGTGAAGGAAACAATCAACAAAACTAAAAGGTGAACTTTGGAATGGGTGAAGATATTTGCAAATGGCACATGTAATAAAAGATTAGTATCCAAAATCTATAAAGAGCTTATGAAACTTAACACCCAAAAAACAAATAATCCAGTTAAGAAATGGGCAGAAGACATGAATAGACATTTTTTCAAAGAAGACATACAGATGGCCAACAGACACATGAAAATATGCTGTACATCACTCATTGTCAGGGAAATACAAATCAAAACTACAATGACATACCACTTCACAATGGTCAGAACAGCTAAAATTAACAGCACAGGGAATAGCAGATGGTAGTGAGGATGCAGAGAAAGGGGAACCCTCTTACACTGTTGGTGGGAATCCAAGCTGGTACAGCCACTCTGGAAAACAGTATGCAGGTTCCTCAAAAAGTTAAAAATCAAACTACCCTACGACCCAGCAATTGCACTACTAAGTATTAGTATCCCAAAGGATACACAAATACTGAATCAAAAGGGCACATGCACCCAGATGTTTATAACAGCATTATCAACAATAGCCAAATTATGGAAACAGCCCAAATGTCCACTGACTGATGAATGGATAAAGAAGATGTGGTGTGAGTGTACACACACATATATATGGAATATTAGTCATCAAAAGGATGAAATCTTGCCACTTGCAAGGACGTGGATGGAGCTAGAGTGTACTATGCTATGTGAGTTCAGTCAGTCAGAGAAGGAAATACTGTATGATTTCACTCATATGTGAAATTTAAGAAACAAAACAGATGAACATAAGGGAAAGAAAATTTAAAAAGAGAGGAAGGCAAACCATAAGAGACACTCTTAGCTAAGGAGAACAAACTGAGGGTTGCTGGAGGGGAGGTGGGGTGCGATGGGCTAAATTGGTGATGGGTATTAAGGAGGGCATCACTTGTGATGAGCACTGGGTGTTATATGTAAGTGATGAGTCACTAAATTCTACTGCAAACTAATATTACACTATATGTTAACTAACTAGAATTTAAAGAAAAACTTGAAACATACATATATACATACATACATACATTCATAATGGTGTGCTAAGCAGGAGAGACCATCTCAATGGTGAATATCCATTTACTGCATCCTGCCCATCCCTAACCTCAGTCAGGGCACCAAGCTGAAACAAACAAGCCTGCATACATAGAGTAAATACTGCTTATATTCATCTATAGAATATATGCCCTTTATTATCAATGTCACTTCAAGTCATTTTAGAAGGCAATATATTTTTCCAATTATATTATTTCTGTTTCTAAATTTGATATATCTTACTCTCCAGAATTGTCTTTAGAGTTTGTGGAACAATAAAAAAGTATTTTCACTGTTAATAAATATTCATCCTCATAGATTTTACCTTTAGAAATTAAAAAATGTCAAACCAATCCAAGTCTGAAGAAAGAACAGGTAATGGAATTGGATTACAATAGTGTCTGGGTCAAACATGAAATGCTAACTAATTCTTTTATTCCTCTCTACTTGCATTCATAGAAAATGTTCCACAGAGGTTAGTCCAAATTGTTTCTAATCTTTAAAAATTTCAAACCACCCCAGATCCTCCACAGTTAGTAAATAACCATGTTTCCTAGGTCACTGAGAAGATGCTGTTTTAACTGCACTATACTATTCATGTTAAGACTTACTCTCTATTTCCATCCTCCCTCCCAATGTTAGATTCTTCTGTGTATTTTTTAAGCATGATACAAACTGTACAACTTTCCTCTATAAATTATTTATTTGTACATTTGAAAAGAGGCATGCAATGTTTCTGCTTGTAATTTAATGTGGTCTTAATCTATAAACCCATAGAGTAGGAATCACAGAAGTCTGAGATAAGCAGGTTGGAAGACTTTTTACAAGGCCACTAAACATATCCTCTTCTTTTAATGATGACAAAATTAAGATCCAAAGAGAGTAAGTGGCTTACTTAAAGTCACAGCTAATTTGTGGAAAAGCTAAGATCAGATCTTACAACTACTGCTTCTCATTCTAGCCACCCTACATTTTTTACTACTTTATATAGCCTCTTAAAATCACCCAGAATAAGAGAAGGCATTCAGATAACCACTGGGAGACCATACATGTTTTCATTCTAAACGTTGGAGATGAGAATAAAGCACTAAACACTGAAATGCTTTTTCTTAAAAATTATTTCAGGACTCCATTTCCCATAATATATGCTTACAGATTTTACCAGACAGATCATCACAGTTTGCGCCAGTCTTGTGGTGTCTAATCAAAGTGTCAGTGAAGAATTAAGGAGACTCTTAAAATTTTCAAAGGGAATTTTAAATGTGCTATTTAAAACAAGAACATTACAAATATAAAGGTCTATTAAAAAGCATGCATTTTCTTCCACCAATAAAAATGACAACTTCACACAACATTTTATGCTCAAGCTCTGAAAATCTAATCTAGTAACTGAAAGAGCAAAGACATTTCTTCAGATGCCCTGAAGTAACTTCAGTAATACTCTATAATTTCTAGACTGATAGCAAAAGCGATTATCTAATCTCCAAGGTAAGTCATAACTTTGAAGAGACAGCAATATGTAAGAACTTTATCTTGCTGTCAGAAGGCTGAAAACTGGAGAGTTTTTAGACTTGTGCTTCAATCCTTTTCCCTGCACCAATAGGAGAAATACTATACTAATGCTTCATAGGATCTAGAAAAAAAAATTCAACTTTTGGTAGAAACTAGTACAACTGTAGTTATGCTTTCATGAAACAAGGAAAAGACAACCTGAAATCCAAATAAAATTAACACAGCCATAAAATTTGTATTTACATAAGGCATTAACATACAAAGAAAGGGGAACCTCAAATTCCACCAAGCCTACATGAAGTTGCAGAACCATTTAAAAGTGGTAATTATAAAATTCAAAGAAGATAAATCTAAGCAGAGAGAGACAGAAAGAGATAAAACACTATGTCATTCTGTTGCTATTTAATAGCACTGTCTTTAAATAGCAATAATAGGTTAGACTAGCTAAAAATCTAACAGTTCTCCAAAGGAGCTACATATTGTAAGTGAGAACTGCAAGAAAGCAATGAGGGGAATAGATTTTGGTTGACTGCTTCAAACTATATTCTTCCAATAAACTAATTTTATTTCATTTATCACTCTGGTAGAATATAGCTAGTGTTTTTCTTCCATAATAAATTAAAGGTCATGAGGAGGGAACAGTAGCAACTTTATCTTATCAGGAATGAAATCAATATTCTGTGGCTTTGTTTTAATCCAGAAACATGAAGTACTATAAAACTGAAACATTTATAAAGCCTCACATAAAGAAGATAAAATACATATTGTAAATAAATTATTAATTTAACAATTATGGCTAACATAAGCCTTACCTTCTTTGAAAATTCCACTGCTTTTTGTTCACTTTCTTCAACTTTTGCCTTGTTCACACAAGAATCTATTAAGATTGACAAAAAATGATTAGAAATTATTGCATCAGATCTCTGGGCAAAAGATGACTGCCAGCCTGTAATTCTATGTAACATTCTCAACAAAATATGAAATAAACTAATGAGTTTATCAAACTTATTATCAAATTTGCATGGAAGCCAGCATTCACATTAATTCTTAGGGAAGGTAAATTGATGTACACTTTCTGAAAAGCATATGGCCTTTCAAAAATCATATCCTCAATTACAGGAATCAATCCTAAGGAAATGGCAAGAAAAAGGCAAACATTTATGCAAAGAATGTTCATAGCAGATTCATTTATAATTGCAAAAACCTGAAAACAATCTAGATGTACAATAAGAAAGGACTGGTCAAGATGGTTATGATATTCCATAAAATGGAATATTATACAGACATTCAAAGTCACATTTTGAAGGGTAACATGAAAAAATTTTCATACTATAAAACTCCATTAAAAATCAGCATATAGAGAGATTAAAAAAAAAAAAAACAAGATATAAGAAAATGTACTTAGCCAAAAAGTGAGTAATGGTGGTGGAATGTACTGAGCTGAAAAGTGAGATTGGTGGTTTATTCTGTCACTTACATAAGCCTCTAGATTGCTTGGAATAAACGAGCATTGGTTTTAAAATCAGAAAATAATACATAATAATAATAAGGAATTCATCTTTGAATATTACTGTGAGTCTGCCTTGTGCTATGGAGTGAACAATAATATATAACTGGCATTCCACAGCTGTTGTTTTCTTCCTTTAAAGACAAGACAAATGAGTTCATGCCCAAATCTTAGCAATAGTGATTTTAATTAGGTATAAAAACTGTTTAACTGTAATGTCATATAACATAGCATATTTCACAAGAGAGGTTTCACATTATCCTTCAGAGACTGTTCCAGAAAGTACAGCTAACTAGTAGTCTAGGATGATATAAGTTCATTTCCTTAGTGATCCAAGTAGATGAACATCATCACCTCAAATTCTTTCCTAGCTTTAAGGTCTACAAAAATTATAAATTGATCTACTTTGATAGAATTAAAAGGTCTTAAGTTACTGAAGTAAGCCTGTATTTCCTTTCTCAAACTTGAACACTAATATCTATTGCACATGTAATTTCTATAAAACAACCGAGGTGCCAATATAAACTGAATCAAAGGATTTCAGAGTCATGTTTCTAAAGAGCAAAGCATTCATCTATAATAACATGTTTTTCCTATGTGTGTGTACGCCACTGATTTTAAACTGAATTCAAGAGCATTAAAACTTATCAAATAGCTTAATATTTTCAACCACACAAGCAGAACTCTCATGATCAACATAATTAACAATTATAGTGATTGAGTACTCACAGACACAATGACTTACCAGATTTTAATAAAGGAACTTCAGTGAGAGCACTACCTTCAAAAAGTGAGTATTATACAGAAGAGAGTGAAACACAATCAAAGGACATTGAGGATAATATTACATACCTATCAGATGCGTGAAATCAATGTCTAATCTTTGCCTATACTTGAAATCTGGGTCCATACCACTGCAGTGCAGCACTATCTGTGAAACGCACTCTTCAATTATTTTGTAATACTGTGGCCTGAAAGAGAGAAAGTATTCTTGAATACCTTTTCCACCTATACAAGCCAATTTTCTTAAGAGGTGGTTCAGGGGCACCTGGGTGGCTCAGTTGGTTAAGCATCCGACACTTGATTTTGGCTCAGGTCATGATCTCAGGATCACAAAATCGATGCCCCCCCACCTTGTGGGGGCTGCATGCTCAGTGCGGAGTGTGCTTGAGAGTCTCCCCTTCTCCCTCTGTCCTTCCCCTCACTCATGCTGTCTCTCCCTCTCTCTCTCTCAAGTAAATAAATACATAAACTCTTTAAAAAAGTGGTTCAGCATGATAAAAGAACTAAGTCTTTTTCTAGCACTGTTAAAAGAATTCTTTCTAGCCATTGCATTCCCTTAAGAGAATTATGCCTAAACTTAACGATGGTCTGGACATTATAGTATAAAACCTATCATAATGTAATCAATTGTGAACACTTAGTGACTTAATACTCTAGTTTTTAGGAATTCATGCCTGTGTACAAAGATACTTACCAACCTTATCTACTAACTTACTGTTCCTAAAGTTAATGAAAACAAATGACCTGTTAGTTCTATATCCATGGATATAGAAATGGTTCTAAGCCTCTACAAGTTTTCAGTTTCGGTAAGGGATGAGTATCTTGGCATTAGGTGGCGATGTCTTAAATTTACTACAACACTTTAACTCAAGATTAGCTATAATAGCTTACAAAACTAGACTGACCCACAATATTCCAATGATCTATTTATGCACGTTTTTAAGATTCATTTTATAGAAGCATACACACTTAATATGCATGGCCACAGCCTGAATTCATTCAAAGTTCGAATGTTTTTAAACATATCCTAATTTTGTAATCTATCAAGATAATTCTGGCCTTAAAAAATAACTACTTGCATAGTTCAAAAATTTTTTAAAGTCACTTTTTGCATTAAAATTCAGGGAAAATTTAGTATTTATCAATGGCCAGTAAATTCAACAGAGAAACATCAGAAAGAAATACTGCATAGAGAAATTATGACATAAACATCCTTAAGATTAGTGTGCTGATAACTAGCCAACCTACTAAAAGTTTGCAAACAAAGCCAAACAGAGTCTAATTGCTCTTATATGTCTTTTGTCATGGTGCTGGCCTCAAGAGTAAGAATAAATAGTAATATACATTAACCCATTTTAGGCTTTTTCAAGTCATCAACAGTTCTAGGATAAATAATACTGGATTATAATCAGTCTAGTAAATGACTCTTTGGGTAAACAAGGAAAACACAAGTGTTCTCTTTAAGGCCATGTTAATTATCTCTAAGTATAATAAAAGTGCTGGTCACACTTCTATTTCACATCTATGTTCTCAGGATGAAAAAGATGTCATAATTAGAGTAACTACTTATATATTGAAAGTTACTGAGAAATGGATGGTTTCACGAAAATTATTTCCCTAGGTAACTGTGTACCCATAGGCACAGTACCCACTTAATTGCCAGAACATTAGAAAACAACATTTTAATTACCAAATTTTCTGCTTTAAGAAAACAGCATATTTTTTCTTTTTCTTCTTTTTTCCTTTTTTTTTTTTTTTTGGTGGGTAGCAAAGCAAAGTTTATTGAGCCATAGCAAAGAGACAGTACAAAGCTCCCAAAGAGGGAGGGGACCCGAGAGGGTTGCCTTTTAACCACTTTTCTATGTCTCTATAACATCATGATGTCCATGAATTATTGTAAAAGTCTGAACTATAATAGTTTTCTATATAATTTTAGAACTGTCATCTTTGTTGCAACTATACCTGACCATGGTTGCCTGCCTTTACCATTTAATCAAGCAAATTTTGAGAAATCAGAGAACCTAGGTTGCCAGAATTTCATGCATATTAGAGTATGAAGAACAACTAAGAGTCTCTTGAATAGTTAAATATAAGATCATGACCACAGCTTATAGATAATTTCAGTCACTCAGAAACCTTTCTCTAACTTTCTGGTTTTCAGATATATTTGCAGTTACTAGACTCTGAAACTTCTAACTTTATTATCATCATAATCATTTATCTTAAAGAATTATATTACTGGATATAAAGCTGAAATATTAGTATTATTTTCTTAACTAAGATCACATCTAGTATTAAATAAATACTAGAAAGGAGAAAAGTAAAACCTAACTTGTTAAAATGGACGTGAACTTAAAAAAATAAAATGTACATGAACTTAAAAGTTCCACCACAGACACTTCAGTGCTTATTCTGTGCTATCATTATCTAGCAAAGAAAATTCATCACAAGGCCAGTAAAATATGTTGGGTTCTTTGCTACTAAATGTCCTGTCACTGGGGTATCCAGTTTTATAAATAGATCCTTTTGGCCCAATTAAAAATAAATTCACACCTTCTAAAATACGTTATGCTAAGTCATCAAACTCTTATACACTATGTATGTACATATATATGCATATAGTACCTAGCATGAACTACCTTATTAGTTTTCCTTAAATATCGAATTCAAATTACACAAATACTAGTACTCTCAGAACCGCCTCTTACCTGACATAATAATCATTTCTGATGAGCAAAAAATGTTGTAGAATGGATAATAAGTAATTTTCAGCAGCAGTGTCCTTCAACATATTATATAGAAGATGATACACTTCATTCATATCAGTGAAAGTAAGTAAAGGAAAAAAATTAAAGCCCTTAATGAAAGTTCCATTCATAATAAAAGCAGCTTCATTTTTTAAAACACTGACGTACCATTTTGTTTCCCTTATTGTTTCTAAACCTTCAACTCCAGTATTTTAAAATTTACATAAATAAATTTAACCTATGGAATCCCTTTCATCTTTTAATGAGAGAAACAGACTTAAAGAATATTTCCAAGACCATTTAATCATCAAAACCTTAAGCGATCGGTTATTCATTATAAATTACAGATGACAGTAGTATGACTGGAACAGCAGTGCCATTAGAGAAAACAGTTTACTCTTGATCTTCCCGTGGCTGTGATAGAGGACCTACATTATTCATGTAAGCCACTACTCCTCTATTTTCACCACCACATAATATAGAAGGTAATGGAACATTCTATGGACTGCTAAAATATCACAAATCAGTTTTATTTTATACTGATAACATATTTAATAATGTGAAATTGCTATTGTCTGCATTCATTTGTATTCCATTATTTAGTAAAAATGGAAAGTAAAGACAATAGAACTTGAAACATTTTTCTTAGGATATATAAAGAGTGGAAAAAGTTTAGATGCTTTTAATAAACTAGACAACAAATTTCAAAGCTGGATTCACTTTTGTAATAAAACTGAGGACCTGGAAAATCAAAGTAAAAGAAAGGTAGAAGAGGAAATGTAATCCAACATTCTAAAAATAATCTGAAATGTCAACATTTTCTCTGAAGTAGAATTAAGTATATGATGGATTATTTCTTAGACCCCATGTAACAGTGTTGTGTTAAAGTCTCATAAGGTCTTTTAAGTGGTTACAAAATGAAACCCAAAATAGCGTTATGGTAAAGTTTGATTATAAGAGAAATCTATACAAAGCAAGGAAGCAAGATATATATTAATATAAAAAGCATTTAATATTATGGAAATGACTGTAGACTAGAGTCACTAATGATGGATAAGAAATTACTAGCATTGATCCCTTATAATAATAACATAGTTAGCCACTGCACACACATTTATCCAATACTTACGTATAAGATACTTCAATAGTAGCATTGGAGGCAAAAGATGAAACATAAAACTTCTGCCCTCAATCTCATAGGGGCACAGAAGTGCACATAAATAAGACAGATAGAAAGTACTATAGAAGTTTCAAGGAGAGGAATATTCCAGCTTTTTGGGGGGGGGGGGCAGTGCAGGGAGGAAGAGGGAAAAAGATGTAACAGAAAAATTCCATCTCAAAGGTCATTTTATTTCTGAAGTATTTCCCAATCTCCCCAAAACCCATAAGTAAGAAATTTACTGAGTGTGAAAAAAATGGCCAGCAATGCTGTGACAACCATCTTTTAAATCTAAAATCATTTCATATAATATCGTTGCCAGAGGAAGATTATACACTAGTTGTATTTGACTCAAATGCTTCTACCAGACAGCCTTGTTATAGTCAGATACTATCACATCTAAACCTTTTTTTTTCACTAAGAAACCAAAATAGTTGGATTGAGAGTAAGGCATTTATATGAATTGAATTGTATCTCTAAACCATTTGAGTACATTTTAATAAACTGAAGAAGTGTATTACCTACAGTTACTTATGAACTCAGTGAACTTTTCCCCTCAAATTCTTTTATGTGAGGTATATGCCTTAGGTTCTTGTCTATTCAAGACTATTGAGCTGAATATATCTATAATACAGCAAGCCACTGTGCAGATTTCAGTATAGTTTGTGTAAATCATCAGGACAATCTGACAATTCCTCAACATGAATCTCAAGGACAGCATCATAGTGAGGTATTAATATAAATAAATGAATATAAATTGGGCTGGTAAACAAGAATTCTAATAATGGTCCACAAAATCAACCACAAATCCTTTTTTTCACAATACATGCAAAATTATTTTTATGGTTTGTCAAAAGGATATTCCATTTCTGCTCGAATGTCATTGAGACGGTGTGATAATTCATTTAGGTCATCTTCTTTGTTCTCATCAAATACTTTCAACTGAATATCAAGTTCATCATTCTCTTTTTCTTTTAGATCCTAATATATAAACATAAAATGTAACAAATGAGTAAGAGTTTGACAACACCATATTTTCGTAATAAAGCACAGATACTATTATTCATTTATATACACAAAAGCAATTTTATATTGACCCAGGCACTTAGGGTTTTCTGAGAAAGTAAATGTACTATGTATTCTCCTATTTTAAAATAAAAGAACCTCATTGCATTCATTGCATTTTTTTTCATGCCCCAGGTTTTGATTATTTACATTAAAAATTAACAATCACTTTTACAAAGGGAGGGGAGAACTAATTGCTAACAACCCAAATTGAATGCTGTTGTTTTTGACTAAATACACTAATCAAAGATCACAAAAGAACTCAAGCAGTTAAAACATTCACATATGCCTCTGGCGAAAAAAATGCAAATATAGATCAATTGTATTAATGAAGAATAAATGCAAGGATATATTCAAGCACAACAGTCCCAAGTATGGCATAGAAAGTTGTATAAAGGATTTTATTTTAAATGATATTTTGTGATTTTGAAGCAAAAAGGCGTCAGGATTTTTTATCAAGCTGCATGACAAGCCTCCTCCCCCACTTTTCATTTTTGCTTAGCCGAATCACAAAATACCAACTTGGGCATCAAAGATTTGTTTTTGTAATACATTATAAACACATGCATTACAAACCTCTGATAATTTTTAAAAATAATAGTATGAACAAAATCTTTGGAAGCATGCCACACTAGAGATTGTTGGGCTTAATATATATCACCTGGAATATCTTTTAATATGTGTCCATTAAGTTGCAGCTTTCAAAACCCAAATCGATAATCCCAACTGTGGATGCTCAAGGGTGATAATGAAAGTGGGACTAGGATTTCAGAGCTGAGCTTGAATTCTAAAAGGAAATGCAAGCATGGTGTACTTCAAATTAGGTCAATAAAACAAAATAGGATTCATTTCTTGTTTCTATTTTTATTCAATAGAGCAATTATAAATGGAGATGTAATGGCTATTACTAAAGCCAAATGCAAATCTATGCAATTGCGAGATTTTTTCTAACATTCATATAATAATTTACTGAAAATTTACATATAGAACATATAAAAATACTTAGTATGTTTCTATATAATTTCATATAAAATATATGACAAATAAATGTATTTACACTTAGTTCCCTCTTTAGTAACTTGCTTTAGGTCTAGTTTTCCACTTTTAAATCTATTGGAATGCAAAATTATCTATAATTGCTGGGTCATATTTTCAGGTGATTTAAGAACTCCAGTCAGACAAGAGCAAAATCCAGACACACCTAATATGCTGGTCATTGCAGAAACTACTGTTAACACATTTTACAATACAGACTTTTCCTTATTCTTCTGTCACAATATGTTCTTTCTTAGATGCTCACTACAAAACTTGAATACTTTTAAGTATGTTAGAAAAACAGAAAAATCTAATTTAAATACTGCCATTTAATTAGCATCAAAACATTATAAAACATGGACTCAATCTGCTTAACTATTTTCTGTAAAAATAACTGGTTAAATGTTTAACTGTTTTTAATTAGGACAACAAATTAGTTATAAAATATACACAGTATGTGAACATATATAGCACAATATAAAAACATAGATATATAAGTGCAATCCTTTATTATTTATTAATAGTCTCCATTAAAATAAACAGATATACATATATACATATACACATATATAAAACTTCCTTTCATTCAAATATCAAACCTTGAAAAATATATCTATACATTCTTAATGAAATAAACATTTAATTAATTAAAAAGTTTTTCTATAGCACAAATATGATATCCTATAAAAGGAAATGGAAATGCATCACTAAAGTTTTATACTTTAAAATGTAGAATATCATTACTGAATTACAGTATTATTAACTATTAATAATGTGAAATATTATAAATATGTTTCAGTTATTTTTTTAAACATAATTGCTCTATGGATATGGAACATTGTTGGCAGTCTCTAAAACATATAATTAAATCTCTATAATTTGGTGTACTTCAAAGGAAATTCTATTACTAATACATGACTGATTACCAGTCAAGCAATCAAAATTGAGTCTTCAACAGAATAAGAAAGAGTTTGTTGGTATTTTAAAATAAAGATGCCTGCTGCCTACAGACATGATTTCTTACTATCTTGTTCCTTCACATACCTAAATTACCTAATATTTTCTAAATCTATTTAACTAAATAAAAGGCAGATGGAGAAAACTTCACAAGAAATCAATATGAGTTACCTATAGAGCAAATACTAATTTAAAAATCACTGTATAGTATATAACAACTCACTAATCCCAAATTACTAAAGCAAATTTATTCCATATAAATGAAGTATAAACTCCCTTTAAACACCATAATTTATCAATTGAGATAGGTGAATTTTGAAAATAAATTTTTACAGAATATAATTAAAATAACTGTCCTTGTCTTGAGGATTCTGATTACTGATGAAGAAAGTTCTACTGTACTATATTATTACGATGGTCCCAGGAGTTATTGAAATACTAAGAATGATTCTTCCCGAATCATTAAGTTTTTATTCAAATTCCAGTTGGTTAACATACAATGTAGTAACAGTTTCAGGTGTAGAATATAGTGATTCAACACTTCCATACAACCAGATAGGTCTAATTATTTTTTTTCATGTACAAACAATTTGTATTAGCCTTAGCCACACCTAATCTGCTGCTTTGAATATGATAGAGTCTAGAAAATTAAGCATCTCCTCCTGTTAAAAACTCATCTATGAATATATTATTAAGCTTCAATGCACGCATACAGATGTTTGATACTCCCTAAATTCTAGTGGTTTAAGCTTAAATATTTAACAATGAGTTCATTAGATAATAATTGACATATCAGGTACATCTAATATACATTAATGCATGACCATTCTGACCTTTGTTCCAAATTGTGATAATAAAATTACAAGAACAACATCAGTCATGAAATCTATGGTATTAAAGAAAGGATCTCTAAATCTGGGTCTTTCTGCCTGAATTCTGATTCTCATCTTATTTATAAGAAGTACCTGCAGAAGATTTTTTTCTTTTCAAACCAAACATCTCTGCCTTACCCTCAATAAGATTTTGATATATTCTCTTTAGAGGGACATGTCCAACCTCTTTAGTTGAGAACCAGGGCTGTATGTAACCATATTTTGCTCCATTGTCTTAGGGAGAAAAAAAAAAAAAAACCCTGAGAATTCTTGTAGGTTTTATTCCAAAATTTTAGGAGGCAGACACATGACACTTCCTACTTTTCTCTTGCTGAGGAATCACTGAGTTCTGGGAATCAGGTCAGATTGAAGAGATGTGACAGTTAAAGAAAAATCTAGCTGATAAATATATGAAGAATGCATTTATTAAGAAGTACATGGTGCCACAAGAGGCTTAATATACAGCTACAGGGCCAGTGGGAAAGTGGAGCATAGAATGACGGATGCAAAATCTTCACTGTCAGTGTAACCAAATATACCATGAGACCACTGAACCCAGCAAAGAAGAATATACCAGAGAAAAGCAAAAGGTAAGAGAGCTACCATTCATTCTCTTTCTGAAAAGATGACTACTTAAATAAATTAAAATGAGAGTAACAGTTTTTTTTTTTTTTAAAAGATTTTATTTATTTATTTGAGAGAGAGAGAGCACATGAGAGGGGGGAGGGTCAGAGGGAGAAGCAGGCTCCCCGCCGAGCAGGGAGCCCGATGCGGGACTCGATCCAGGGACTCCAGGATCATGACCTGAGCTGAAGGCAGTCGCTTAACCAACTGAGCCACCCAGGCGCCCGAGAGTAACAGTTTTTTTGATCAAACATTCAGTAGTATAAGGCAGAAAGTGAATATTCAATTATAAATAGATACAGGGAAATAAAAGATGAAAGAGTAATAGCAACAACTAAGGCACAATATGTGGCATCTTAGTAAATGAGTAGAGGATGCTAAGGAGCCCCTGTAGCCACAAGTGTCCAAAGACATTAATACTCTCCCAGAAACTGAGGACCACCCCAGTGAGGACAAGCCGGAAATCAATGAGTAGGTAACTCAAAAGCCACACTAGAATCAAGATTATAACATTATCTGTAACTACCTACAGCCACAGACATTTCATGAGGAAAGATTTCTGACAAAACAAGAATAAATGTATAACTAGTGAATGTGCCTAGTTAACTGCATATTAAACCTCCATATGGGTCACTTAAAACGTTGCTTTGATTCACTGCAACCAATTCCCTGTTGTTTTTTTTTTTTTTAAAGATTTTATTTATTTATTTGACAGAGAGAGAGGGAACACAAGCAAGGGGAATGTGAGAGGGAGAAGCAGGCTTCCCGCAGAGCAGGGAGCCCGACGCGGGGCTCGATCCCAGGACCCTGGGATCACGACCCGAGCCGAAGGCAGACGCTTAACGACTGAGCCACCCAGGCGCCCCTTAATTCCCTGTTTTTTTAAAGTCATGGATTAAAGTACCATTCAAAGTATAATTGACACAGAACTTCCTAAAACCAGATAGACTAAATCAAACATCTTATCAAAGTGGGTTTCAGTAGACTCACTGTAGGGTTCATTTTATGATGGTAAGTTTCAACTACTTTCAGTTAAGACTATCAGAACACAAGTTACAGATGCATGCTACACTCTCATTCCTACCAGGAAATTTCCCTGATTTTGGTATTTCTACTACTCTAAGTATTATATACATGCTTACTTGACATTTCTTTTGTTTTGTTTTGTTTTTTACTGCCTTTTACTTCTTTTTATTCAGGTGTGCTCTGGGTAGCTTAAATGAAGAGACTAGTTAGACTTTACATGTCTCTTAACAATGCCATAGTTTTATACAAAATCCCTCTTCAGTTAACATACTAAATAAAATATAGTCACATTAGTTATATTTGTGTTTATAGAATAAGTATCCTCATTTATCTCAGATCAAGCCTATAAAGTTATCTCAAAAATGTTTTAACAGTATCATAATTAGAACATATATGCACATTCAAGAAATAAAACTGTTTTTTAGAAAAGTTTCTATAGCACCATAGCAAGAATACCATTCCTAAGTATCTAGAATATACTGACCAAAATTCTATAGATACTTATGCTGAATATAAATGATATCAATCTAAGTTATCAAAGAGGAAAGCAAAAACTTTTAAATGAAAATTGAAGCCACAGAAAAAGAAAAAGCAGTAGTCTTTTATGTTCTCAGTATTCAAATTCAAAGAAAAGAAATTCCTTTTTGACTTTAAGAAAACAAACAAAACAAAAAACACCCACATCACTTCTGGACACAGTAGCTGAATTCTGAATCAGCAGTTGTATATAAAGACTGCTATTACTGCAATACAGAAAAGCTTGCAAAATGTCTAATGCTTTACAAAAGAAAATATAGCAAGGCACATTTATCTACTCTGTTGCAAGTACTTTGTCTAAAGAGAGAAAAATGTTAAAGTTCATCAGCAGACTTAATGTGTACACTCAACTTACTGGTAACATTGTTTTTAGTCCCGAACGTAGGAATTCATTCCTTAAATGTATTCTAAAATCAAGCTCATAAGGTGAAGTGACAAGAGCATTTATAAACTGCATGCAGGCCACCTGCAATTAAAAATCAAAGTTTGTTAAAAATTCTTTTAATTAAGGAAATATTTACTTAATACATTCAGATCATTATTTTTCCATTAACTAAAGGCATACATACATATATTTTATGGATGATTATGACTTTACAGCATAAACAACAAAATTAAGTTTCTAATGCCCAGAATAATTCTAATGGAGATATGATGGATGGTCAAGTATTGCTATGATCTGCTAAATAATATGAAGGAATATTAAACTCTGAGAAACTTAAAGTTCCAAAAATCTGCATATAGAGCCCTTTAAAAATATCATGAAATGTATCTTTCATATTCAGCTGTCCTCAAAGTGCACTTGGCCTCAATTCTATATGGTTATAAACACTTTTCTAATATAAATAAAAAAAAGTACCCTGATATTAAACAGAGAACAGTGATAACTTAGAGAAATTATTACACTGATTTATACTGTCCCCATACTATTATTGGGATGGACTTGCAAAAAATAGAGAGTATTAAAATACATGATTAAGATTAATTAATTTACTGTGTATAAAACTGAATGCAAGTGAATTAAAATCGACTAGAAGGCACTGTCACACCAATGCTAATGTGCACTACATGACAAAGTAAATATAAGGGCTTGTTTTCAAGTGAAGGTGATTCATTAATTACATTGACACTGTCAAAAAGGTTTGGTTTTTCATCCGATATTGAGGTTCCCTATTATAAAAGGGGACTTATTTTCTGGTAACTACAAGCTAGAAGGGAATCAACAAAATGCTAGTTGCCAGGTGATCCATAAATTATTCCTGATAGTATTTTTGGGAAATGCTGCTCAAGTCTAAGGCAACTACGTAATAGGTTAAGTGAGGAGTTGCACCTTTAAATTGATTATTCTTAAAGTATGGAATGAGTATACTGTACAGTGTTCAAAGAGCTGAGTGCGAGGGAACTCCTGGAAAATACCAGATTTAGTAAAGATGTCAAGCATATACAGAAGAAGACACAAAAAATCAAAAGTTAGTATGAGAAAAATACATCAGCAAGAGAAAATATTTCAAATGTATTTTGACTTGTCCAGACCTATCATTATAATAGTTATTTTTTCAAGTTGAAAGAAAAGATTAAAAGGTATATTCCTTTTTTTATATCTATTATCTTATGCATCTAAGCTGCTTTTAGGGAGATTTGTCCATCTACCTTACATCCAGGCTCAAAAATCAAAAGTTGCATGCTTTAAAAGTGATGACTAAAACTGTTTCTAACATTACTAGGTATCTAAATGACAACTGAACACTGTAGTCCAACACCTATGAATGCTCAAATGTCAGTATGAAACACTTAGACTCCGAATTAAATACTTGCCAAAGAATGGGCATTACCTTAAAACACATTTCAAATAAGTTACTATGACACTTATACTTTAATAGATTACTTAATCTTTCTATTTACAATAAGAAAATATGTAATACTTTATATAGTTTCCATAGGCTGGGATATAAGTTTGTATATTGTACATGTCCAGGGCTATATTATCATTGCATTTGCTTGAATGATCCTTGTTCAATGGTACAACATAACATGACCAAACAAGCCAAAGCACATGTCCAATCCAAAATTAATAGAGAGAAAAGTTGCCATCTGCTAGGAGTTTTTGCCAGAAGATATTCTAGCTTAATGGCTTGTATTAATACCCTACAAGAGAACATTTCCATGGGAAACAAGTTAATGAGTCTTAGAATTGTACCTTTATACAGATAAAAGTATTTATATCAGGAGATGATAAAAATAGTAAAAGTCAATAAAATTAATGAAGGTATCAACATCAAAATAACTTTACATTTAATAAGATAAATGCTGCAATGCTATTACATACTTTACATATGATATATAAATATATAAGTGAATGCTAAAAAAAAAAGTTGCATTCATTGACTACAGTATAAAATAATTAGGAGACACTTTGAAGCCAGTAATTTAAACGGGTAACGGCACTGGTTTATCAATGTACTATTTATTGTTTATCAAATTCTAACAGATATCTAATTACAAATAAGATAAGCAGAATACTCATACCAACATGTCATTTTCCAAAATCTTCTCCTGAAGTGATACTCTTTTTGTTTTAAAGATTTTATTTCTTTATTTGTTTGAGAGAGCAAGCGAGAGAATACAAGTGGGGGGGCGATGGGCAGAGGGAGAGGGAGAAGCAGACTCCCAGCTGAACAGGGAGCTCTACCCGGGGCTGGATCCCAGGACCCTCGGATCATGACCTGAGCCAAAGGTAGATGCTTAACTGACTGAGCCACCAAGGTGCTACTAAAGTAATTCTCTTATAAAAATATTTCTATTATACTTTAATGCAGAGAACAAAAAAATCATCTTAATTATCTCCATTCCTTTATGCTACTACATAATCACTGTCCTTTTTAGAGGACAGAAACAAAATCAATCCAAAACCAAAATAGTTGTCATTATTTACAAATACAAAATTAAATTTTAAAAATAAAATTAGTTTCAATGCCAGAATATATTATTACTTAATCATAAACATTAAATACCCATTATGTAGATTCTGAATTCACAGTTAAATACACAACCCAAACCATTTTCATATTCATTATTATTATTATACAAACAATATTAAAGGCTACACATAATTCACCATCTAATCTCATCCTCATAAAAACCATACAAGATAAGTATTACTATTATCCTTATTTCATAGATGATGAAGCTGAGGCTAAAAGCAGGTAACATACATGGTCACACAGCAAGGAGAAAACTCATGATTCTCAACCATATAATTTTACTCCAAATACAGAATAATTTCCAATACATTCTAGATGCTTCATTAACTCTATTCATAGATTCACATGACAAAAGATTTTAAGGATGGATAAGATAATAAAATTTAACTATTGCATCATGTTTAATACACTGGAAATAACTAGTTTTGAGACTGTAAGTTAATTAGAAAAGCAATTCTTTTTAACATTTTATTTATTTGAGAGAGAGAGTGAACGAGAGAGAAGGAGCAGGGGGAGGGGCAGAGGGAGAAGCAGACTCCCTGCTGAGCAAGGAGCACATCCAGGGCTTGATCCTGGGACTCCAGGATCATGACCTAGGCGAAGGCATATGCTTAACAGATTGAGCCATCCAAGCGTCCCAGCATACAATTATTTTAACAATATACTGTCTAGTATATAAAATGGTTATTTTACTTTTTTTTTTTTAAAGATTTTATTTATTTATTTGACAGAGAGATAGCAAGAGCAGGAACACAAGCAGGGGGAGAGGGAGAAGCAGGCTTCCCGTCAAGCCAGGAGTCCAACGTGGGACTTGATCCCAGGACTCTGGGATCACGACCTGAGCCACAGGCAGATGCTTAACGACTGATCCACCCAAGCGCCCTAAAATGGTTATTTTATATGTCATTTATACCTCTTAAAAAAACAAAGTGGTTATCAAAATACTTAAAAAAAATGCAAAAACAAAACAAAACAAACAGGAAAGGTAGAAAACAGTTCCTGGAATGTGTTACATTCAACTTCATGAACAATGAAGTATGGGCAGCATCCCATCATCCAGAATAACAGTCTCTCACTCTCTTTTACTTCCTGCCACCTCACTCTCTATTCAGCATACATTTGTATGCAATACACACACACACACACACACACACACGAGCTATGCTGTTCAGTACAGAGCCATTAGTCACAATGCAAATTTAGCTTAATTACAATCACTAACATGAAAAATTCAGTTGCTCAGTCTCACCAGCAACAGTTCAAGTGTTCAACAGCCACATGCGTCTACTGGCTATCATACTGGACAGCACAAATATAGGATACTGCAAAGTTTGATTGTTTAGCACTGCACTGGAGACTTTAATGAAAAAGGCTTCTGGCCTACTATCTAAAACCTAAGCTCCAAAGAAGTAAAAAACTCATTCCCAAATAATGAAAGTTTGAAAACTGGCATGTTCAACTTCCAAGTATATAAATCTTTAAGATCATGATTGTCTGCTTACAATGTAAAATGAATCTGCTTTCAAAAAAAAAAAAAAAAAATCCAACCCCAGAGATGGAAAACAAAGAAACGTGTGATTTTAAAGCAGAGTACTGCTTAAAAGTATCAAATACTCTGGGGTTCAATGTGCTCCTTTAAAGAAACCGAAAACCTAGAAAGATTAGTTGATTTGCCCAAGATCATATAGCTAATAATAAGCCATAAAGATAAGACAAGAATTTGTACCTCATGACTTTTAGTTTTGGATTCATTCTACAACACTACAATGTACAAATCTGGTATTGCTGAATAACATTTTTCCCTCTACTGGAAAGAAAACAAGTGCCCTTGAATTGAATATCACAAAGTCCATTCTCCAGATTCTTTCTGTTGGTTTCTTTATAATAGCTTTAAGTTTCAAAACAGTCTGCCATATCTGTTTTAAATACAGGTTCCATGAGAATTAAAATTTAAGATTCACAATAAGTCAGTGAATTTTCTCCATTATTAATAAATATGGCTGCTAGGACCAAAATTTTGATTTCTAACCACTAAAAACAGTAAGTTTCTTTATTTGCATTTCAATGATCTCCGTTTCTACATGATAAATGTATATGTTGCCAAATAAATGCATAAATATATATAAAAAAACACCAACACTGTGCATGTGATAAAGCATCCAATAATTTGTACAATGTGTAAGTATATACTAAATTACTATCAGTTTTTCCATCACATTATGATCATTCCTTTACTACAACACTATATTATCTTTCTACAATAATTATCTACATTCTGTAGTCACAGGATGCTATTGTTCTCATCCTGGGGTATGGGATGTGATGCAGTGTGAAATATCACAAAAGATACTATAAACATTCTAAAGGCAAGGCTCTGTATTTGTTTAGGGTTTTCTGTATAACTTCTAATTGTCCTCAATAAAATGATTAAAATATAATGGGTAGGGCGCCTGGGTGGCTCAGTTGGTTAGGCGGCTGCCTTCGG